ATAGATAGATAGATAGATAGATAGATAGATAGATAGATAGAGATAGATATAGATATAGATATAGATATAGATATATAGATAATCAGTGGCTTCTTAGCTGGATTCTAGAAATGAAAATTCTCAACTTACAATCATTCACTTAGTGTCTGTTTCAAAGTCACGATGGCGCTGGGGGAAAAAAGGGCTTGTGGCCATTTTCACACTTACGGCCACTAATAACATCCCTGTGGTCACGTGATCAAAATTTGGATGTTTGGCAACTGGCACGTACTTACGATGGTTGCCATGCCTGGGGTGGGTGGGTGTCACATGACCACCTGTTTTGTGACCGTCTTACCCGCAAAGCTGACGGAGAAGCCAGATTCATTTAGCAGCCACGTGGCTAACTTTGAACAACGGCAGCGATCCGCTGAGCGACGGTGGCGAGAAAAGTCGCAAACACGGGGAAAAAACCTCAACTTTTAAGGATGACTCGCTTAGCGACCACCGACCTTTTGGGTTCAATTGTGGCCGTATGTTGAGGACTATCTGTAATTATGCCTCCCTGTTGCGAACCATGACCCTTTTGCAAAAATCTCTTCGGCGTTACTCACCTATACCGAAGGTCTCTGGAGTTAGGGTAGTGATGTTGATGAGAGGATTCAATTCCCCAGCTGCGTCTACGAAACAAAAAAAAACTGAGAAATTTGGAGAAGAGAGAAAGAACAAGGTGTGTCCAGAGAAGAGGGGGTCTTCTGCCTATCCGCTCTGGCTCTAATTTGTCTTATTTAGGGATGTTTTTTGAGCAAAGCGCCATGCGTGGAAGGCCGGGTGTATGCGCAGACAAAATGTCGACGGCGCGCACAGACATTTGCGTACCAGTAAGGAAGGTAAGTTGGATCATAAGGAAGGCTGAGTGTCAAAGAATGGAGGCCTTTGAGCTCTGGTGCTGGAGAAGACTCTGCATTGAGTCCCTTGGACTGCAAGGCCATCCAACTGGTCAGTCCTAGAGTTCAACCCTGGCTGCTCTTTAGAAGGTCCTAAATCCTGAAGAGGAAACTCAAAGACTTTGGCCAACTAATGAGAAGAAAGAAGGACTCTCTGGAGAAGAGCCTCATGCTGGGAAAGATGGAGGGCAAAAGAAGAAGGGGATGGCAGAGAAGGAGGTGGCTGGGTGGAGTCACCAAAGCAGTCAACATGAGCTTCAATGGACTCCAGAGGATGGTAGAGGACAGGAAGGCCTGGAGGGACGTTGTCCATGGGGTCGCGATGGGTTAGACACAACTTCCCAACTAACAACAACTAATATCTATCTATCTATCTATCTATCTATCTATCTATCTATCTATCTATCTATCTATCTATCTATCTATCTATCTATCTATCTATCTATCTTCTAGCTATCTATCATCTATCTAGGCCATCCAACCGGTCAGTCCTAGAGGAGATCCACCCTGGCTGCTCTTTAGAAGAGGAAACTCAAAGACTTTGGCCAACTAATGAGAAGAAAGAAGGACTCTCTGGAGAAGAGCCTCATGCTGGGAAAGATTGAGGGCAAAAGAAGAAGGGGACGGCAGAGAAGGAGGTGGCTGGATGGAGTCACTGAAGCAGTCGGCCTGAGCTTCAATGGACTCCAGAGGATGGTAGAGGACAGGAAGGCCTGGAGGAACATTGTCCATGGGGTAGCGAAGGTTTGGATACGACTTTGCAACTAACAACAGCAACAAACAGTAACAGAGTTGGAAGGGACCTTGGAGGTCATCTAGTCCAACCCCCTCCTCGCGCAGGAGGGGATTTGAACCGCCAAACTGCCAACCTTTCTGCAAGGGAAGATAATAGAAAACCACCCGTGGTCCAGAGGCAGCTGAATTTCTCCGTGGCGTCTTCAAAGGGAGAAGACTTGCATTCCTTATCCCACCCACCCCCCGCCAACGCCCTCCGGACTCCATCGCTCGGATTTTGCTTTCATATATTTAGGCACAAGGCCAAAACCAGCCCAATCCCCAAAGAGATGCGTTGGCCTTCCTCGTATGGGGCGGGAATTTGTATTCCTACCGTCGGAAATACAGAAAGAAAAAGAAGAGCTGGGAGGCCAAACGAAACGAAAGAAACGAAAGACTAACCAAAGTAAAGAACCCCCTTACAGGCGAGAGGGGCTGTATATGAATTGAAATAATGAAATTAAAAACAAAGGAGGAATCGGTCAAGGGGCTTTTCAAAACAGGCCAAATCTTGGGCTGTTTTCATCCCCTGAACCTTCACATGCCTCTCTTCCGCCCTCTGCTGGAAAGGGAGGGGAAAAGCAGAGAGAGCATTTTTAACTCTGCCCCAAAGGCGAGACTCACCGTTTTGGCAGTCTGTCAGGTTGTACGCTGGAGCCGCCGGGAGGGTCTCGTTCTCACACTTCACGCAGCTGCTGCTGCCGTCTTCGTTCCACCGCCTGTAGCAGCCTGCATGGTGTGAGGACAGGAAGGGTGAGGAAGGAAGGAAAGGAAGAGGGAGGGAAGGAGGAGGGGGAAATGAATTGGAAATAAGGAAGGAGGGAGGAAGGGAAGAGGGAGGAAAGAATGAATTGGAAATGAGGAAGGAGGGAGGGAAGGAGGGAGGGAGGGAGAAAAATGAATTGGAAATGAGGGAGGATGGAAGGAAGGGAAGAATGAATTGGAAATAAGAAAGGAGGGAGAAAAAATGAATTGGAAATAAGGAAGGAGGGAGGGAAGGAGGGAGGGAGGGAGAAAAATGAATTGGAAATGAGGGAGGGTGGAAGGAAGGGAAGAATGAATTGGAAATAAGAAAGGAGGGAGAAAAAATGAATTGGAAATAAGGAAGGAGGGAGGGAAGGAGGGAGGGAGGGAGAAAAATGAATTGGAAATGAGGGAGGATGGAAGGAAGGGAAGAATGAATTGGAAATAAGAAAGGAGGGAGAAAAAATGAATTGGAAATAAGGAAGGAGGGAGGGAAGGAGGGAGGGAGGGAGAAAAATGAATTGGAAATGAGGGAGGATGGAAGGAAGGGAAGAGGGAGGAAAGAATGAATTGGAAATAAGGAAGGAGGGAGAAAAAATGAATTGGAAATAAGGAAGGAGGGAGGGAAGGAGGGAGGGAGGG